TTCCCCTTGGTATAAAAAAAAAAAAAAAAATGCATTTAGGAGACCTCCTTGATGTCGGACAGCCGCTGCTCGAACGCCCTGTGAAACACGACCCACTACAGATCGCTTTCCAGAGGCCTTCCATCTGTCCAAAAGGAGGCCAAAGAAAGTCATCAAGTATTTAAAATGGTACTTTTTATAATACCAAAGAAGCTTTTTTTTTTATTTATAAAGAGTACACTTGTAACAAAATGCTGTCCTGCATCTATTAAAAAAATATATTGCCACTTTCAGTCTTCTGGTTTACTAAATCTGCGCTAATGGTCATTTACACATGTGTGGGCATAGCATTATATGAAAAGGAAATAGTTCAGTAATAAGCAACCAGGAAAGATGCTTTTGAGCAGAAGAAATAGGAAAGTTTAGCTTTGACTTCTAAAGCTCAATTCAGTGAACTGCAACACATGCTTTATTTGCCAATATAAAACTCTCACTGCTGAAAATAAAAGATTGTTCATGGCAATTGATAGTTATAACTTTGCCAATTGAGCATACAGTCATTGAAACTGTGTGAATAAGATATTAGTGCAATTCGGCTATTATTGTCCTTTTGTGACATCTACACTTACACTATACAGTAGGGCCAATTTATAAAGCAGCATTATGGTCATACCGCTGCTTTACACAAAGAAAACAAAATGGTCAAAATATAAAGCAAAGTGACATGCTGCAGAAATGTGCTCAGAAGCCCTATTCAAATAAATGTGTTAAAATAAAGACAGAAGGAGACCCTGTGAAACGAGAAGGAGAACCTGGTCACATGATCTGCCAATTTATGTGACCAGCTCTCCACCTATCATGGAGTGATCTCTGCAGAGAACTGCAGACTCCACACCCCAGCCTGCATTTGTGAATGGGTTTTAAAATGAAGGTGGAGTACGCTCTCCTTTATAAAAAGCTTCTATATATTTAAGTATTCATATTATATGTGGTTTTTCAGTGCAATGCTGGGAAACAGACCAATTTCCTCATTGTGGTTTGCATACATTAAGAAATGCACACAAGCTGAAGACAAAGCACAAGTTAGATGACGTTTATTGGGATTACTTATGTCTACAAAAGATCACATAACCTTCCAGGGCATCAGCAACAGCTAATGGAAAACATTAAACTTTGCTCCTTAAAAGATAAATTTATCCCAGCCTGGCTTCGATTTGCCACCATAAGAAATTAATGGGCTATCCGGTAAACCTCACTTGGGAGTGCTCAGGCCTTGTGGTTGGCAGTGCAGACTCTAAATACTGTGCTGAGGGAAACGGGTGTGAGTAAACTTCTTGTGGTGCCTACTAACAAGCCTAGTTTGGATAAAACGGTTTCACTTTAAAGACCATCATGCTTGGTGCATTACTCTGGGACAGATATTACCTAAGGCCAGGCTGGCAGTATGCATATTGAATTTAGGACATTAAAGAGTAAAGATAGAAAAGCTGCCTGGCCCAATGAGAAGATGGAATTGTCTACATTTCATGTCTTTATGGCACAGGTGTACATGGGTTTTTGTATGAAAGTAGAAGTACCCTTTAACTACATATCTTCAATGTGCAGTGACCTGCTCACTAGCAAACACATACCTTTATTATAAACCTATTGATACAGTAAAAACCTGCAATTAACACTTATAAAATATGTGGCAGAATGCCTTGAAAATTGTACCTGCTGCTGTAGTCCATTGAATCGTTTCCCCCTCATGGTCTGATTAAGTGGTCTTCGCTAAAGGAAGTTATTACAGTTTAGAAGACGTTGGTCAGAGCTCCCGTAAGCCCCTTTGGTAGAGATCACATGACCATCCATTGCAGAGGCACAGCTTTAGGTAATTAAAAAAGGTACATTTTGAAGACTTTCAGTCACATATTCTTACAGTATTAAGAAGCAGTTTTTAAAAGTACAACCCAACTTGTTTTAAAGTATGTTAGACTAAGGCAGAGAGGGGCAGAGAAGGCCAACTGACCCAAGGAAACTGCACTCAAAGAATCTATCAGGACAGAAATGAAAGCTGCCATTGCAGACTCCTTTTCGAAGGTGGACCCCACCAGGATTGCCATACTCGTCTTTTCTTCACTATTTGGCAAGTAAATGACTTGACACAAACAGACATCCAGCCAATACAAGACATGCATATGTATGTGCAGTCAGTGGCTTGCCAGGTAGTAAAGAAAGTACCTGGAACTTCTACCTTCAAAAACCAAGTCAAGAATGCAAACTGCCATTTTTCAATGCTGACAAGCTTACAGATCCGGAATGTAAAACATACCCACATAAAATAAAACTGGCAACATGCCTCATAGACACCAAATTGTTGCTGCATGACCTATGCAAAACTTGCTCACATACAGGATGGGACAAATTCATGCTCGATGTCATTGGGAGCATTTCTATACTGGCTTCTGAATTAACAGAAAGGGCTCCAAATATATGCACAATCTTTACTGGCTTCAGGGATCTATCTAATGCTGGGCACATAAGACTGTAAATTCATTTAACCAAATCTACTTTTTACATACATTACTTCATTGACAATGACCTCAATGTGCCAAACCTCCTTTTCTATAGGAAATGGATACTGATGTAGTAAAGCTGCCCACAGACATTAGATTACAGTCTCTCAAACCAGCTGTTTTTGGCTTTTGATGACTATTATGAGTACCCACAGACACTGCAGGCTGAAAGTCACCAGGAGAAATGGTGATTGGGCTTGTTAGAAAACCTTGTCTGCTTGTTACTGCTTTCCCCCTAATCCTTTGATGCTGTATACCAATAACAAAAAGTGCTATTTTTGGTTCCTGAAGGAAATGTCCACTTGCAGAGGTCAAGTCAGTAAAATTTAAATAGATTGTTTACTTGTTAAGGAAATTTCATAACACCATGTCAGCTGAGCAGACCTCCTTCAAGGGTGGTGCATAATGCCTTTATTTAAATAGCGATTGACAGACCTTTTTAAAGAGCGTTATATCACATGGCTACCATATTAGCTGCTGATCTTGCTTAACCTGTGCCAGTCACAACAGTGATGCGACCCTTCAACCTAGAACACGGAGCCGTTATAATGCTAGCTTATTTGGTGTAAGAAAAACTCAAAAACTGAACTCCAGGATTTAAATAGAATAGAAAATTCCCTTACCACACCACAAGGGTATTTTAAATTCTGGAGTGGGCTTTAAACTGGACATCACTCCAACTAACTGTGTAAATAGAGAGTGGAACCGCCACAAAATTGCAATACCTTGGACTGGACAGACCTCAAAACCTCCTAAATTGAATCACTGAGTATTTAAAAGTGCATAGCTATTAATTCTGACTTGGCTTTCCTAACAGTAGCTGTAATCCTACAAGCTGGAAGCACAAATAGCTTTTGTGAAGCGTGCATCAAAGTAAAACATCAGATTTTGGTGCAGAACAGGACATTTTAGAAACGTGATTAGAGGTTACACCACATACAAAGTGCAAACAAATGTATTAAAGAAGACTTAAAAATGTAGAAATTATTAGCATGGAAAATAAAAGTTACTATTTTATTTCCGTGTAAACACAAATATAACTTAACGACAATGAATGGCTTTTATTTAACACATACAACTTGTAGACTTCTTGGTACAGGGGCAAAGTGCTCTTGCTTGCCATCTTCCTTCAAAAGCAGGTATACACGTCACTAAATAATATATTGATATGTTTTAACACTTATCATAAAACATTTTGACAGGTACACTTAAAAGGCCACTGGTGAAGAACTGGGTCATGTGATCATGCCACAAGTGTGATTTATATCCTTCTCCTACATTCTTGTTATAAGCGTGCACATTGAAAACCAAGTTCCAATAAAACCCTACCTTTTAACCCCCCCCCCCCCCCCCTAGAAAAATATTCCTTAAAAAAAAAAAGAATATGATTTTACATTACAGATAATATACACTGGACTGCAATTCTACATAGATACTAGTTGTGTTTTTAAAGCAGCAGGTCATGCTATTACAAAAGGGCAAACAAACAGAAGAACAAAAAAAACTCTTCTGATATGAACCCGCTTGACCGTAACATATCTTAACAAGTCAAAAATTAACAAATTCAAGAATTTTTTGGCCCAAACACACATTTTAATAATAAAGAGTCTCTACTCCCAAGTGCATTTCAGCTAACTTGTCTCACACAACAGGTCTAAGTCTTCCTAGATAACCTTTTCTCTTGTAATCTACTGACAAAACTAGTTTCACGCTCACTGTTTTATAAAGAGTTAACACAGATAATCACAGCGGGGAGAAGCAGTTCTGATAGCAGCATAACAAAAATGGTCGTCAAGAGGAAACTTGTAGTTGCGGCATGATATGTATTAGCTGGTAGCCATGGATATGTGCATATAGGTAATGAAACCCTTTATACTTGCCCTCCTGTGATTGAATAATATGACCTGTGGTTTGAAGCCTTGCTCCATCAAGAGTAAAACTCCAGAGCTATACTTCTGCTGTCATGGTAGGGTCACGTGACACTGAAGGTGTTTGGGTGGATAGCTCCTCTACATAAAGGAAATAAGGTAATCCTCCAATAAAAGAATCATGGGGGCTGCCATTTCCTGGCCACCTTCTAAAAATGCAAGCTGCTTGGTCACCACCCACTTCAAATTTTCTCAGTCACTGACCTGAAACTACTATACAGATCAGGAAAGTCGCAGAGAAGCCCTCCTCTGTATATTTATTAGGGGCCAGTGACCCAAAATATTGTAGCAGTAGGATCAGTGTTACAAGCAAGCAACTAGCATGATCCCTTCATTTTTTAATGGTAGATTTCCTGTGCAAAAAAAACCAAACCACCACATGACTTTCCTTAAAATTCCAACCAGCGCCATATAGATTTCTACGGGTTGCTTTAGTTTACTGCATTGTATACATCAGCATTTGTCTTTGTACTGCCTTCTTGAACAGAAGTAATTTTGATGGCCATAAATAGGGATGCTCAATGCAAACCATCCACCCTCTGTTCTGCAAATGACAACAGGGAACTGTAACTCACAGCATAGGAACAAAAAACAGGGAAACTGAATTTTTTTTTTTACAAATCTGAACACGCTGACATTCAAAAGTAATGCGCCTTGTTGTCTGGGACACAAATTTTGATTGTTTAATGTATCACCAAGCAAAGGACCCTTTTCTTGTTCGATCATAATCAACTCCTTTCACCTGCTGTTTTAAGATCTAATGATCCCAATCAAATGACCCAGATGGACAGAATAATTAGCAACGAGGGTTATTCACAGTTACTTTTAGAACAAGAAATAAGAAGGGATAAAAAAAATTAAAAAATACAATTTGTCTGCCAGCATTACACATTTTCTAAGGAAGTATATACCCAACATTACAGTGGTGCAAATAGCGCTCTCTAAAGATTGCATACCTATGCAGAATCCGGATTTTCAGATGCCCCAGACACAAATGTTTCATAGGAATCAGATCTTCAACAAATTGATCAGGGAACTATTTTTCTTTCCAGTCAAAACACAGCCCATTACATTTCTTGACACTCATACCCTTGTCTGACCTTTTCTGAATGCTCAAGTATGGATAAAGGTGCCCATACACTGCTCGATTCTCGTACGAGAATCTTGGGAAATCCCGCGATCGTACGAGAATCGAGCAGTGTGAACGAAGACGTGCGACCGTTTCTACTGTACGGTCGCACGTCTTTTGTCGAGCCAACATGTTCGAAAACCCGACGAGAAACTTACGATTCTCAGCGGGTTTCTAGCCTGCTCGCCCGATAGCTGCGGAACGGGCCGGTGTGCGCACGCGCACACTGCCCGTTCTGCATTGTGGTCATCGGAAGCCCGCCCCTCAGCGGGGCGGGCTTTCGATGATCGCAAGTACGATCTGCCCGTCCAAGGTGGGCAGATCGTACAAGCTTTCAATAAGCATACGACCATCGCAAGACAAAAGTCTTGCGATGGTCGTAAGGTGTATGGGCACCTTAAGAGACACATTTTTTTACAATTATGATAGCTGCGGACAGGTTTTTATCTCTTACTTTTTGATAGGATATTATTTGACAGAATGCCCATCTAGCTTAATATAACACAAAAAGTGAGAGATACAATTACAGCATAAAAAATCTATTCGGCTCAACCAAGAGGAGCTTCCCATGGTAAGACATTGTTAAAAGCTGGACAAATGCCTCCACAATTATGTTATAGGATCTTATCCACAAACCCCATAGGAGGTGGGAATCACAAAGTGCTACTAAAGAAGCAAAAGTTTTTTTTAGATACACACTCTTGGTTCACTAAGAACCAGAGGTTTGAACCGTGGTTATGGTTTCAGCAGTTACTTTGTTATATTAACCTTATTTGGTTGTAGTATATCCGGACTTTGATGATGGAATGTTTATTTCTCTATGCATCTTTCTCTATGTATCCTTTACCTTTAAGAGGGTAATTTGTGGTCTAGATATTGCTATAACTATGCTCAAGGCATCATTACCTGCCTGTTCCCTATATGAATACTGCTACCTTCATTTGTAATTAGCTTGATAAAGAGCATGGGCTGCTCAAAACATTTCTTTGCTACATTGCATGCAGAATAACTGAGCAAACGTGTGCTGCAATCCATCGTTTGGACTTCTACGTAGGTCTATAGCTATAGAGCGTGCCCTCTACTTCTGCATGAAAATTAGACAACTTGACAAACCTGTGACCCCCCCTCCCAAAAAAAAAAGAAGGTACTATCCAGTTAAACACAAATGTGTGTATTTAAAAGCTTCTGGAAATCCTTTTTATACATTTAAATTTTTATAAACCATAACTTAAGACCGACTGCTTCAAGAACAAAAAACCATAAACATTTAACAGACTTCAGCCTAAACAAAGACTCCGGAGTCACAGAGCAGACAAAGTCTTTGCAAACATTCTGTGTGACAAAGACATGTACTACTAGCACAAGCTCTCACAACAATAGCAGTGCAAAATGAGAACTCCTTCGGCAACTCATCTAACAGTTTAAATTAGAGTCTTGTAACCGTGACCAAATCTTAATCATTTCTTGAGGCTTCCTGGGATGGACTAAAATTAAATTAGAATAGGAGCAAATATTATTCTTATGTTTCTCCTCTATATCGAATGTCTTGAACCCTTTGTGTTTCTCTGGAGCTAGCCCAAGTTTTTCAAGGCACATTCCAGTATATACATCATCGATAGGATACATGAGGACCCTAGAAGTGGCGTTGTAAAGTCTCAGCGCCAGATTACCGGAGTAGAGGAAGCCTCCACCGCCAGCGTACGGTGGGTAGGAGCCTTCATAAAGGCTCTCAGGAATGTAGTACTTCAGCTTCTTGTCCCTATGGGGTCCAGCATCTTTGATCACATCCCCGATAAATAAATCTTTGGCTTTTTCTGCCAATAACGTCTTCAAGTAATCCAGGATCTGATGGGTATTTACAAAAACGTCATCATCTCCTTTAAAAATGAACTGGACATCTGCACAGGAATGGCTTACCCACTTCAGGAAGAGGACTTCTTTAAGAGTCAAGTTGAAAAAAGTATCCCTATAGTTCCAGAGAAGGATATCATTGTACATTTCACTTTCATATTTAATCATACTCGAAAGATCCGGGTGATTGTCCTCAGTTGGAGTCTCTCCAAGAAGGAATACCCTTACAACAGTCATGTTGTTCACTTTTATTTCTTTCCCCCAAGATTCCCGTATGGCTTGTCTTCTATCAAACTGTGGCGTGAGGGACTTAATGGCCAGTAGCAGAAAGGGTTTATCTTTACATTTATCCGGCTGGTCCAAAATCAGGGAATAATTCTTACATCTTAAATAAGAAAGGAAATCCTTAAATCTGTCTGGCAAGCTGCCAAAGTCTTTTATTTCTGATGGTATATTTGTGTCCATTTCACAGGAGTTCAGCAGACTTGAATTGAAAGCCACCATCTCCTCCACTGTAACATTGTTGAGCAAATTGAGTATTGGATTATACAATCTGTTCAGCTTTTGCTGCTCCCTATTCCAATAAGCATTGCTTTCTGTGTATTTCCTCCAGAATTTGCCACGTGGTCGGAGAACATGTCCTTTTCCGCTTTTGTCTTGGCTGTCGCTCTTTGAAACTTCGACAATGACATAGATGAAGAAATTTACCATCATTAGGATCCCCACCAATTTTAACCTTCTCCTTCCAACACTCATTTCTCATACCTGCCAAGAAAAAAAAAAAAAAAGACAAAGTTAAAATAAAACCATTATTTAGTGATCTTCGTATACACATAGAAGAAAAACTACAATAGATGGGTTCGACACATCAGGGCTCATTTACTAAAAGGCAAATACTGTTCACGAGGGATGCACCAATACAGATACTAGTATCGGTGCCAATACCAAGTATTTGGCAGAGTACCCGTACTCACCCAAATGCTCCGATACCTTCCCTGATACCGGAACTTCCGGTCAGAGGAAGATTTCCTCTGACCGGCAGTGCCTTAGGGGAACATGGAGCCAGCTTCCTGGGCAATCAGAAAGCCGGGCGACGAGTAATGACTGATTGGACGGGAAAACGACTTCCTAGCCAATCAGCATCGAGCCGGTTTCCCAGCTAATTAGGGAGGCCGGGTCATTACTCGCTGCCTGGCTTCCTGATTGCCCAGGAAGCCGACTCCATGCTGATTGGTTGGGAAGCAGGTTTCCCGGCCAATCAGCAAGGAGCCAGCCAAACATGGAGCTGGCTTCCCAGGAAATCAGGAAGCCAGGTAGTGTGTCATTACCCGCTGCCCAACTTCCTGATTGCCCGGAAGTCGGATCCATGCCAGCGGAAGCACCAGTATCGGTACTCGGTATTGACAGATCGGTATTGCAACAAATTCACTTGCAAAGAACAGCCAAGTGCAAGTTCCAAAAAAAAAAGAGAATACTTTGATTGCACATGACTAGAAGATGGAAATCAGCAGAGCTTAATCACAATCACTAAGCTAGAGGAAAATTCCCTTGCAAAGTGCAAATTCATGTGCAAAATTAACAGCCAAATTTACCGTAACTCAATCCCATCACATCTACTGGTAATTCTACATGTGCCCTTTAGCACCTTTCACCAGAGGGAGCATGGTGTTTTTTGTTTTTTTTAAAATCAGCTTTATTGTACAAAAGAAAGCAAGGTACAATGGAACATAGAGGCACAGCCCCAAAAAACATAGTAACATTATCAGCATACATCAGAAGTAGAAGGTGAACGTTGATCACATTAAGGTTTCATTACATGACAGATCAGAATCTCTCAGTGTCAGTAATATATATAACCGGTGGCCACGATGGGCATATCTGATACAACTACTACGGTCTGTATGATATCGGGGACAGGTGCCCTGTGTATCGTGGGCCCAGACTGGCGCATAACAAAAGGGCAATTCCCAACATCGGAGCACATCTCTGTCTGCAGTTGCCAGCTTTGCCGCGTATTCCATTTACACGGACAAAGTGTCTCGTGCTCAGCAACGCATGGTGTTCTATGCTCGGAAGGATTTTAAAAGAGCTAAAACACAAACCTCAAAAAGGTTAAACAAATAAGAAATCAAGTATAGTAAATAATAATAATTGAACAAAAAAAAAATTGGCTGTACAATTCACCAAGCTCCAATTAAAAAGAATAAATCGGCTTCAATCAGTGAGAGAACCAAGCCAGAGCAGGGACAGTGTGAAACACGCAAGGAATTCATGACATCACTACAAGAACACTTTGTACTAATCCAGTACATAGCAAGAAAAAGCCACACTGCCAGCACAATGCCATGAAATAATGCAAAGAGCAAAGCTTCCTATACAGCACAGATTACATACATCAAAGTTGTACAGCAGGGCAAATGGCATTTCACAAACTAAGCATGTGTATTCACACATTCTTTCAATCAAATTTTGTCAAATGAACCGGTCCAAAAATTCTCAAACGTACCGAGATTGCAGCCAATCAGCTTGCTTACACTGTTTGGTAAGAATACAATAGCCTGGTGTGGGATTCCCCCATCCACAGTTTTACATGGGCAGGGGAATAAAGCGGCTAGTGTACCAGCACATACTGGTCTCTGCAGCTGCATTCCAAGGTGCTCCAAAGATTAGATAAGAGTTGTTTGATAACAGCAATTTGGGAACACTTGCTGAACAGCCTGGCAATGTATGGAGTACAAACAATTCAAACACTGCCTCAAGCAGAACTTACTGAAAACATGTAGTGAGAGAAATATGGAGGCTACTATAGATGACCTTCTTGTTTAACCCCCTAGTGACCGAGGCCTTTTTCCCCGTTTTTTGTACCCATGATATGATCCACGTTGTTGGCAGTAAAAAAATGATATGTTGCACGATATTAGCGCAGCTTATCAAACCCCAAAATGTAGTGAAAAATGCCCTTAAGTGCCCCAAAACACAATCGAATACCCATTTATTTTATAAAAAGGATGAGGTTAGAACGAGTAAACAGATACCCGTCATGCCCAGGTAAAAAACTGTGTGCGTCCATGAAACTGCAACAAAATTCAGTACCCCAAAGAGTCCATAGAGGACGCTTTAAAAGCCCCCACAGGTCATCAGTTTAGAGACACGCATAAATATTGGCCTTAGAATTATTGCTCTCACTCCGGCGTGCGCGGCAATACCAAACATGTGTAACACGATCGCCGTTTTCATACGAAGGCGCACGGAACGCATGCTTACATGAAGACACGCGTGCCCGCAGGGGCCTCAAACTTTTTTACAATTATTTTTTACAGTTATTTAATTTAATATTTTAAAAATAGTTGTTTTTTTTACTTTAATTGCCATCACATAGGGGGGCTTACAAGCAGATTGGCAGTGACAGGTACTCTTTAAGGTGATGCCGGGGGTCCAAAAGACCCCCAGTGCCACCTTTCCACTTGAAATAAGCTATTGATGTGCAGATCGCACTTCAATAGCTTATAGGCCCGGAGAAGCGATCGCTTCTCCGGGCCAGTCGGCTTTACAATTATAAACAGAGTAAGGACGTCGGGAGTCTGTTTAAACGGGCCCGGTGCCAGTGACCTACTATGGACATCACTGGTCCTTAAGGCGTTAAATGCTAGCTGTTATGCAGACGGTCTGTCACCAATCGAGAAGTATGTCGAGTGGGAAAATTGGAGAACATTCATTGCTTTCATGCATGGAGGCCAACCTACCTACGGAGAAACTGTAGAGAAGACAGAGGAAGACCACCAATACCAAAGAGGGACCACACCTATCCTGGATAAATGTCAACTCTGCTTAACCTATTGGGGAAATAAAGAAGACTCAATATAACTATTTGTTGGTTTTAAGTCTCCTTGAACTGCTACTGAAGCTGTAAAAAAAAATCTTGCACTTTGCTACTGATCCATAATTTACAAAATGTGTAGTAACTAGAGCAGTAGAGGGCATTAAACATACCCGAGGCTGAATAAGTGAAGGAAAGTAAAAATTAACATTTACCAATAATAACAACTACCAGTACTTGCAATTTAAAATGTAACTAACACTTACATTAACTTCTACATTAGTGGCTGCAATTTACCAATCTGAAATGATACAATTTTTACTGCTTTATTAGCAATGTCTTTATGCCCCACTCACACCAGGTCGATCCGCCGACATGAACAATCCCTTACATTGCCATGGAGACCGTTCATGCGACCACGCAATCCGAATTTATTTAAAGAAGACCTCCAAGAATTTTAAAAACTTGTCCTTGGAGTGAGGCTACCCCCTTACTGCAACGGTTAAGTGCTTGTTTTGTCTAGGGGAGTCAAATAATGCAGTTTTACTCACCTGATCCTCGGTTAGTGCTCACCTCTCTCCCCCTCTGCTCTGGCTGTACTAGTCCCTCACGCCTAATGCAAGTCAATGTACCTGCATAAGCAGGGCCGGCCTTAGGGGTGTGCGAGCAGTGCGGCCGCACAGGGCGCCATGGCAACAAGGGCGCCGTGCGGCCGACACAGCTCGTCCTGGGGGCGGCTTCTCTCCCCCTCACCGCTGGGCGCTGGCCATCCGATATGACAGCGCTCCCTCGTCCGCCCCCTCGGGTGCAGGAGGGAGCGCTGCCTGCTGTCAGGATGGCGGAGCAGAGAGCAATAATTGTAGGGCTATCAATCACGGATAACACTAAACTGATGAGCGGTAAAAGCTTTTAAAGCGTCACCTACGGTCAATTTTGGGCATGGTAATTTTTTGCGATTTCGCGGGTGCGCGCAATTTTAAAGCATGACATGTTTGGTGTCTATTTACCCGACGAATGGGTGTGGTTACTGGGGGTGTGGCCACTGAGGGGCGTGGTCACTGAGGGGCGCTGTAAAGCTTTCTCGCACAGGGCGCCTAAAGGCCTAAGGCCGGCCCAGTGCATAAGACGTGATGATTTCAGCAGTCCTGACACCGCTGGAACCCAGGGGAGAAGAGGCTGGGTGGGGAGGTCTAGCAACTTAGTGGGACCAAGGATCAGGTGATTATATCTGCTTTATTTGACCCCCCTAGACAAAACGAGCAAGGATACATTTGTAAATTCCTGGAGTTCTTCTTTAAGTAAGTGGTTTGTGTATTTGTACATTAGGAAGTAAATGAATAACATATCAAAAGGCCAACGCCAGCCAAATCCAATATTTCAGTAACACATTGCTGCAGACCTGTTGGCTTTTGATGCCTCTGAGTAAGTCCAATGGTGAATATCTCAACTAAAAGTCTCCAGGGTTACCAAACGCAGAGCCCACTACATAACTAAATGATGGTGTCACAATCCTTACAAGGTTTTTTCTAGTGACCTCGTGGGAGGGAGTGGGGCAAAAAACATTTCGGCAGGAAGTTTTCCATTGCAATCTTTAAAATAAGATATTAAACCACCAAATAGTGTGTATGCAAATTTGAAAACCATATATATCGACTGTCCACTATCCAGGCCACGGTAAAAGTTTCCATGATGCAATGAAATCAAGGGAGGGAAGCACGCATAGGCTATGCAGTGAGAGTCACAGTTGTGACAAGGCTCTTAACAAAGCAGGTGGTATGCAAATCACAGAATTCAAATAGGTTATGATCACTCACTTCAGCCACAAGCTAGCAGCTCAAAAAGCCTATTTTAGGTCAGCATTCTACCAGTAAGTAATATGCTAGTTTATGGGTTTCTTAGGGGAGCTAAAAAAAAAACAAAATGGCAAATTAAAGACATAGCATACAGTAT